CAGCATTATGAACTAGCCTTTGAGTCTTTTGAAGTTCCTTGAACTTTGATTGAAAGAAGTCACCTGTAAGTTAAATATTCACAAACATTATACGTCAATTTGTAGTCTTTATTTGCTTATTTGAGTTGGTAATTTTGGGTATGTATGCTTCATTTTAAATTTATCCTAGGTTTGTCTTGCAAGAAATTAGGATTAACTCATGTGACTGCTCCATGACAAGATTGTATACGAAAATTGACCCATGTGAGAAAATATGTCATGATAGCCTTGCTGAAATATGTGAGTCGATTAAAGTCTTGTGAAAAAGGTATAGGGACTTTTATGTAGTAATAGGACTGCAGATCTTGCTGATAATGTCCAAAAATAAAATAAAAGCTTTCTTTTCTAAGATTAAGATACAGTCTGGCAGCCAACTGGGTTAAGGTAGACAATTGTAAATGCTTTATTCCACAAAAATGTTTATTTCAATATCTTTTGAGCATTGATGTGTAGAAGTTTAAGATTAAATGGATTTAAAAAAATAAATTGATAATTCTTCTAAGTTTCTTCTAAGAAACTTGCCCAAAAATTCTTAGGTTCCTTCAAAAAAATCTCAATGCTTTAAAAAATCAATTAAATCCACGACGCAAAAAGCTTTTCCAAACTTTGTTACTAGGTCACATAAATTACCCCATAGCAATCTCTTTTCCACAAAAAAGTTATTTTTCTCTCCAGTTTTTAACCACATTTGCGATAAAAAGCCACTTAAGTTTCATTATAATCAATAACCATGCATTAAAAATATTGACGCATAATGAAATTAATAATTTTAATTTTTTTAATGCTCTCGAAGAATTTTTTGGTATGTTTGAGTTTATGCATAGCGACGACATCAATTTTCAGCAAGAGCATTAATGAAAATTCAATTATGTCGTTGAGTAATTAAAAAATTGGAAAATTTTTACTCTTGAATGTGTTAGAATATTATTTATATATGCGACAAACATGAACTGAATAAATTTTGTGTATTAAGCATTTAATGTGGGATGTGTTTATAATTTAAGGGGTTGAAAGATAAATTTTTGAATTTTTTTTTTCTATTTAAAATGTAGGAATTTTGAATTTTTAAATTAAATTTGCAAAACCTCTTAAAAATAATTTTTTAAATGCCGAATATTTTCTTATACTTAGCCTTAAATGTTTAATGGAGCTTCTTTTTATTAAGCAGGAAATAAATTGTTTAATCTTAAAAATCTTAATTTTGAATTATTTAACAGCACATTAAGTTATTTAAAAATGAGAAAGATTTAAGATATTTAATTCTATAAAGCAAGACTTTTAAGAAGATTTTGTCGATTTTTTAAAAAAAATTAAAATAGGATGAACTATAAAGGCAGTGAATAAAAGATGAAAAATTTTGAATACTTCAGCTTTCACTCAGAACTTCTAATACCATAAACTAGTCACACTTCTATAAAAATTGCAAATAATTCCTTTCAAACTCAACATGCATCTTCAGATTTTCCAAAAGAAATTGTTCATCACATCCAAAACATCCACAACAAGCATTACATCTCTGTCAAAGAGACATGCTTTATGCAAACTAAGATAATAAATCCTCCAACATAATTAACATCAAAAAAGGATACAGACAAAAAAATCCTCATCATTCAACTGAACACGAATGTTAATTCCAACATTGAAGAACAAAGGAAATGTTACTTCCAGGATGTCATTTAATTTCAAAAAAAAAATAATAATTCGAGTAAAAAAAATGAAAAACTTTTTTTTCTTATTTTTGATATATTATTTCGCCTTATTATTTTCATGAATAATTAATTATAATAAGCAACATGATCATTTATGCTCCTGCAAAAAAAAAATTAATGAAGACATCATGTTAATTACCCGTTATGTATATACGAAAAAAAACATCAGTTTCGTTTGAAGACTCAAAATAATGTCTGCAAAAAGAGAGAAAAATGAGCAAAAAGAAAATGTTTTTCTTTATGTTGTAAGCCCTAAAGCACCAAAAGAATTTTACTTCTTATTTCATTCCTTTCTCGATTCACTTTAAAAAGGAGAAATTGATGAAAAATTTTTTCATTTTCTTTCTGTGAAGAAAATTTGTTCAGTTATGAAAAATGCTTCTTTTTGCAGAGGTGGGAAGTATTGAAGGGGTCTTGATAAGTTTTGTCATATTTTACTGACAATTAGTTTTTTTTGCAATTTCTCTTTTTATGTTTTTAACATCCGAAAGTTCCGAAATTGAACGCTGTTTTTAGCCAAAATTTTCCAAGCTCGAGAATTAAATTTCAAAAGAAAAAATCATCAAAACATGACAAAAGCTTCTCCTACCCTTCCTAATACTGCCTCTGTAAGAAAAAGCAATTTTAATCATCTTCAAGAACACCTTAAAAGAAGTACTAAATATAACAAATTCCTTCTTCTTCGTCACTGCCAATGAAGCATAATTAAGAGTAGCAACCATAAAAAAGCAAACTTATGTGCTGTTCAGTTCTTTGTCAGAGTAAAAAAAAAGGAATTAATCACAAAGCACACAAAAAGAAGCAAAGTCACACATGACTATAAAAAATGACAATCAAAATTAATTAAAATGAATATGCAGAAAATGGCAGATGATGATTTTACGGAACTGAAACTTAATTTTAATTTATAAGTTTTGTTTTGCGCTCTAAAAATTGAGCGTAAAAACTATGATTAAGTGGATTTAACTAATTTTAATTTTGAGTTCCTCTTTTTTGAATTGCATGTTGGAAATTGAATATATTTAATTAACAATATTTAATTATTCAACAATTTTTTTGATTATTCTTTTTATTACAGAATGAATTTTAATGAATATTAATCATTATTTTGTTTCAGAAATTTAAGGTAAATGATGTCAATTGGTGCGATGATAAAGTTTTTATATAATGTAAATGTTTATTAATGAGTTTCGGAAGTGAAAATTTTGAAGTTGAAGCTCTGGTTGAAGACTTTTATGAAGTATAATATTTTAAAAAAAAATATTAAGAAATTTACAACTTAGGGCTCAATATAAATTTAAATTAAGACATATTTTATAAGAAAGATGTTATAAATTACAAACAAAATTATTTAAAACAATTCGAAATTAATTTAAATTTTAGAAAACTTCATACTAAATTTAAAGATTTTCCCTTAATCCAAACTTTCTTACAAACCCACACATTAGCAACGAAGAATGAAATGTCAACAGAAAATTGTCAGCTCTGCTTAAAAAAATATCAAGTTTCAAAAAGCCTTTTTTTTTTGTTGATCCTCAAGCTTTAGTGCTTTATTTTTTCATGTGAAGTGATGCAAATGAGATAAATGAAATTTAAGATGTTAATTAAACACTTTTGCGCCTTTTTCAACATTAAGTAAACATCCAAAAATCCTTGAACTTTTTCTTATTCGTGACTTGCGTTGAAACAACAATCAATATTTTTATTGGTAATTTGACAGGTTTTTTTTGATGATTAGACATTGAAATATGAAACTTGTCATCAAGCTTAAAGGATAAAAAAATATCAAAAACATTTTTCAAAAAAAAAATCAAAGCAAAATTTCATCAAAACTTTATTTTTAAATCAAAAGAAAAAAAATCTCTTAATTAATGAAAGACAAAGTTAATTAGCAGTGCTGTAAGTCGTCTCTATTTTACAACATCTATCTTAAAAGAAAACTTTGCAAACATGCACACTTTATCATGTTTCTTTACAATTTACATTAAAACTTCTAGTTCTTTTCAATTTCTGTAATAGTTGAAATGTGAGGTTATAGTGAATAATTTTTTTTGGCTAGAAAGTAAAAGTTGTTTAAGGTTTAATTTTGAATATTTTGAGGAGGTAGATTGGGTTTAACTTTTTTGGAGGTTGCAATATTAAAATGAAATCCTTGCAAAGTTTTTATTTGAAATTCAGTAAAAGCTTCTCAAAAACTTATTCATAAGATTATATAAAAAATTATAAATTTTGTTAATATTCCAACTTCAATTGAAAGCTTAAAATTTCTGCATATTGAAAAATATCTTCATTTCTATAACTTCAACAGGAGTGTTGAAGTTAAACTTGCAAAAGAAGGTTTTTTTTACTTTTTTTTTGAATTCGGAAAAAATCAAAATTTATTTACATTAAATTGTGCATTTTTGAGGGTTCTTCACATTTACTTAGCATGAAAAATCAAAAATAAAATTTGAACATAATTGAAAATGAAACATTTGAGTTCAACTTTTTGAGATTTTATTTAAATGTGTTTTAAACTTTGAGAGTCAGAAATTTTCTGTGAGTTTAATGAAAACTTAAAATTCATAAATTTTCAACTTATATAAAACTCCAGAAGTCTTATTATTTATAAAAAGCAAATTTAAAACTTTAAAATAAAATTAAATTGAATTCCCAAAGCTAAACAATTCCCATTATCATCAAAATCCCAGCACTATGTTGTACATCGTCCAATTTACAGCAAACAATATGTGCTCCGTCAACCATTTTACAGCACTCACCATATCAACAGCTACCAAATTTTACCACTGCCGACAAAAAATAACAATTTTTTTTTCTATATTTAAAATTTTCAACCACAATCGACATCATTTACCTCAAATTTTTAGATCTATAGATTTTATAATACACCATAAAAATATTTTAATTTATTGATAATAAGCCGCATTTTTGTTACCGATTATTACTGTTGTCATTATTTTTAATCACATAATACATAAAGTCTATCTTTAAAAATTTCACAATATTAATTTTTTTCAAAAAAATAAAACATACAAAATGCGGGTTATTTTGAGGACAATTATATTCTAATCTTTTGAATTTTATACCTTTTTCCTGCTTCTCCCTCCTCGAAAAACCTCGAAATAAAAATGAAAAACTTTTTGTTCTATTGCGGAAAAACCACAAATAAAATCATGAAAATTTTCACAAAAAAAATCACACACATAAATACACACAAACATGTAAAAAAAAACTTGAATAAAATCTCAACAGTCGTGTTTCGGTGCTGAGAGGACAAGTCGTCACGTCACAGGGATTAGGTATTGTCGGTGTACGAGTGTCTGTTGATAGAGATTCACGTTTTGGTTTCACATTGACCAGACAAGGTGGATGGTGAGTAGAAAATATCCGATTTTTACTGTGCATGAATAAGGATCATTACGCAAGCATATTATAATACAATGCAGCATTCAATGATCTCCTCTATGTCTATGGACCTCATACCAAAAATAATCATTTTATATTCTCTTTTTCTCTATCTCTAAACTACCAGGTTTGACGTAATGGTTAATGGTGGTGGTGCAATTACGTTGCAATTTCAACGTTCACCTTTCCGGCCCATGACTCGAACTGTGTTTGTCCCATGGAATCAAGTAAATTATCATTGTCATTGTGTTTTTAATAGAAAACTTTTTGCTTTCCATGCATAAGCTTAAAAATGGTAGGAAAGTTCTTGTTTTGAAGGTTGTTCGCAAGCATTAATTGAAAAAAATTTAAAAATGGATCTGCAAAAGTATCTTTACTGAAGACATTTGATAGCTTTTAGGATATGATGTCATAGAACTGTGCAGCCTTCTCAACTGTTTCCAATAAGATAATGTCTAGTTAAAACTTAGTCTAATAGCTGTTGCTGTTGCATTGGCTCACTAGTCCTTTATTTGACATTTTAGAAATCCAAACTCCTTTCCACATAGACAGTCAGGGCGACAGACTATTGCCAAGACAACATCTTCTGCTATTCACTTCCTCAAAAATCTGCTACTCACAAATTTTAGTGTAATGCTGAGATTGAATAAAAAAATATTCTTTCAATGGCTTTATAACAAAATGCACCATTAGTGTTTTATGCAGCATGATGATGATGATGATGATGTTGCATAAAAAAATACATCTGAACGATTTTTGTCGATGGTTCTAGATACAACAAGAGTATGGGTGGTTGTTACAAAAGCTATAGAATTTTTTTTTTATTTCCATCGATGCATGATGATACAATAGTTCGATGAATGAGAGGAAATGGATGGGAATCGATGGTTTGGTGTGAAGTTTGCATTAAATTATTTGACCAAAGGGCTTGTCTAGCAGAATTCAAATAATTGTTTAAATTAAAGCGACACTTTGAAATTTAAACGTAACTTCATGTTCAAATGAAGTTCAACCAAAGATAATCTTAACTTGAAGCAACGCTTAATTTGAATCTAAAGCAACTTTTTGTTGAACTGAAAGCAACGCTTCATCTGAATTTAAAGCAACGTTTTATTTGAATTTGAAGCAACGCTTCATTTGAATCTAAAGTAACTTTTTGTTGAACTGAAAGCAACGCTTCATCTGAATTTAAAGCAACGTTTTATTTGAATTTGAAGTAACGCTTCATTTGAATCTAAAGCAACTTTTTGTTGAACTCAATTGAATTTAAAGCAACGTTTTCATTGAACTGAAAACAACGCTTTTTCAGAACGTGAAGCAACGCTTTCAAAAAACTTGCAGGAAACCCCAAAACTAGCCCTAACTTCCAAGAAGAACTTTCATCAATATAGCAAAAAAAAATCCATCAATGAGTTTCCATTTTTTTCACCATAAAAACTATATTTTTTTAGATGCTCGTCTTACCGCCTCTTCTAATGCATCTCGTCGATGAAGATAACAGCATAAAGCCAAAATTGGGAAAGAGCATGACATTCAGTTTCTTGAACTCAATCTCATACTCACTCATCGAGAAGAATTCAACCGTTAAAGATAAGTTAACGTGCAAGGACCACGATCATGAGTTATTGAAGCCACACTTGACGAGTACATGGATGCCAAATGCAATTGGCTCAATGTCTGGAAAGTCTGTAATATTTGCAGAAGCTGAGGTAAAACAGAATGTTTTTTGAAAAATATGTTAACAGAATTTAATTAATTAAAATTTTTTAAACCGTGTTTGCAGATTGTACAAGAATCAGTACAAATTCCGGGCTCGAGTCTTTATCTAACATATCAATCGTCAAAAGTACCCGGATATTCAAGTATTGTACGAATGAAATTGACGGGTGATAAAATCCCACCATCTCTCACCCTCGTCCATATTGGCATAGAAATTGAGGGTTCATTGCATGTCAAAACATATGAAGCTGATCCAAATATTGAGCATACATTCGCATGGAATAAACGTAATGTTTACAAGCAAAAAGTTTATGGTGCAGCAATAGCAAGAATTTCAATTGGTTATGAGCATTCGACATGCGATGACATTGTATGGGAGACACAAACGGCAAAATTGCAGGGCTTTGATGTTGATATATCGGATATTGGTGGATGGGGATTGAATATTCATCATCAATACAATTTCAATGAGGGAATTCTTCAGAAAGGCGATGGATCAACGTTACATTTAAAGGAGTATCCGAAAGTTGTACGTTCTGTAATGGGAGTAAGACAGCAACAAAGACCATTAAATTGTCGTGATAAATGTAATGGAGTGGCAAAGGATAGTAAACTGTTGACACCCGTTGCTTTAGCATCAGGTCCTGACGGCAGCTTGTATGTTGGAGATTTTAATTTAGTCAGACGAATTATGACAGATGGAAATGTAATTACAATCGCTCAACTCAGTGCAACACAAGTGTCATATCAATATTATCTATGTGTATCACCGGCTGATGGACATCTATACATATCTGATCCAGAGAAGCATCAAGTTTTGAAGATTTTATATCTAATGAATGTCACTGATCCAGCATCGAATATGGAACCAGTTGCTGGAAGTGGACAAAGATGTATACCTGGAGATGACGAGAATTGTGGTGATGGTGGACCTGCCAAGCTAGCTAGACTCTCACATCCAAAAGGAATTACGATTTCTGCTGACCGAACGATGTTCATTGCTGATGGAACTAATATTAGATCAGTCGACGATAAAGGAATCATTCATACATTAATTGGACATCATGGTCATCATAATCATTGGAGTCCAATTCCTTGCAAAGGTGCTTTATTTGCGAATGATGTTCAACTTCAATGGCCTACAAGTCTCGCACTTAGTCCACTTGATGGAAGTCTTCATTTCACTGATGATCGACTAGTCTTAAAACTTACTTCTGACATGAAGATTAAAGTTGTTGCTGGAACTCCATTACACTGTAATATCAATGCAACTTATGATGAAGCAGCTCTCGGAACCGTCTTGGCTATTGCATTCTCACCAACTGGAGATTTATTCATTGCTGACAGCGACTCAAGACGTGTCAATTTGATTCGAATGCTGGATACATCTGGAAATATGAAGATTTTTGCTGGGCAGCCTGATGTTTTGTGAGTAGCTTTTTAAATTTTTCAAGGGGGGTTTAATTGATGATACTTATAAGGGATTGCAAAAAACTTATTCTGTGAATGTAATGCTGGCTTTTAAATGACTAATTATTTTTAATATCTCCCATCTAGAACCTCCAACTGCAAATGTCCAACATTCAAGAAATCTCAATCAAATAACAGCGCAAGCAATCAACCACCATGCTTATGTCCCAACTCTAAATCCATCGATGTAAAAGGCAACATGTCAATAATGTCAAGTAACACTAGATTCTTAGCCATCTCTGCAATGGCTGTAACACAAGACAATGTTCTTAATGTCGCCGATAAAACATACTTACAAATTTTATCACTTCAACATTATTTGCCAGCATCAGATCGTAGCTTTGAATATCACATACCATATCCATCGTGCAATGAAATTTACGTCTTTAATCGTTTCGGTCAACATATCGCGACAAAAGACTTCTCAACTGGCAAAACTATTTACACATTCTTATATTCGAAAAATACGAGTTTTGGAAAATTATCAACAGTCACGGATAGTATGGGTAATAAGATTCAATTCCTTCGTGATTACAGTAATTTGGTTACGTCAATTGAGAACACGCAAGACTATAAAGCTGAAATGAAGTTCTCATCAAATGGATATTTAATTCGTGTGACAGAAAAAGGCAAATCACAAATATCATTCGATTATGATGAGCATGGATTAATATTAAGTCGTTCAGGTAATGGTGAGACATTCATTTATCAATATAATGAGTTTGGACGTGTTAAAAGTGTCATTTTACCAAGCGGTGAGCAAATTGAGCTCACATCAAAATTAAACATTGAGTATGGACTTGAGGTCGAAATAAAATCACGAATTCCATCACTCTTCTCGCAAATACCAGCAAATGTGACTAGCTTGAAAATGAATGGTGGCATAAAGACATTTGCCATGGAACGTGGCAATCAAATGCTTAGGGCATCAATTAACATTAATAATAATTCATTTGCCATAGCTGAGAATGAGAAGGTGATGTTTGAGTCATCGGCCATTTCACGACATCCATCACTCGAGAAGTCACTGACTATTGAGGCTGAAATGTTACCAATGTGGTCACATCAAAACCTTTTTATGAATGATGATGTTAATCGAATGTTCATGACATACAGTATGACAACGGAGGATCCACGTAATCCACAACAGGTGTTGGTTCGTGAAATATGGATTAATAATACACGTACTTTGGGACTCAAGTATGAATATTCAAGAAATGTTGAGCAATTTTATGATCGTGACCAAAATACGATATTAGGTCTTACGTATAATAATCTTGGACTGCCAATATCATATCAACCGACTAATGGCTACGCATTTAATATTACTTATGATAGATTTAATCGAATGGAAGGTTGGAATTGGGGACCATCAGAATTAAAATTCAGCTACGAACGTCACGGTTTACTTTCGGAAATTTCATCGCAACAAGATGGAATCATTTCGTATATTTATAATGACAATAATTTACTATCGGAAATTGGATTGGCAAGTCAACGCAAGTTCAATATGGGTTATGATTCGGATGGTGGATTGAAGACGGTTCAATTGCCGACTGGCACAAAACATGTGTTTGATTTACAAAGGTCAATAGGATTTATTCGATACACATACACACCTCCTGGTAGTACTAAGCCATATCTTCAACATTACTCGTATTCTGGTGCATTACTTCAGACAATTTATCCAGGCGATGGTGCCAGAATTGTTTACAGATATAATGCACAAGGGCAATTATTGGAAATAGTTCATGGTGAGGGTAAAAGTGAATTTACATATGATAAAGAGAATGGAATGCCAAATACTGTAGCTCATACTGAACGCGATCTTGAGTATCGATGGGATTTCGAGTATAATGGAGCATTAATGACTGAGGAAAGAATCGATTTCAATGCAAAGACTGGATTAAGTAACGCCAAATTTACTTATGAATATGACTCAAATTATCGTCTGATCTCAACGCAAGGACGTATTGGTGGACAGAACTTGCCTGGCATCACATTCTTGTACAGCATTAAAAGTGGAAATTTAGAACAAATTTCACAATTTAAAATCACACATCCAAAGACAAACACAACAAATGTCTACGATGGTACAGCAACATTTACTAGAACTGTCGATGGACGATATCTTGAGACTGAAATGACTGTCTACATTCATCGCATGCAAGTCTTTAAGATGGAGTTCATGCATGATATTCATGGACGAATAACTCAAACAAAGATGTTTACAAGAAGTGTCGGTGTCACAAACTTCTCAAATATTAAGAACTACACTTATGACTGCGATGGTCAATTAATTGGTGTTGATGCACAAGAGCCATGGGGCTTCCGATATGATGACAATGGAAATATGTTGGCACTTTCATATCGTGGCAATAATATTCCTATGGAGTATAACACAATGGATAGAATAACTAAATTCGGAGAGAATTTCTATAAATATGATGACCAAGGACACATTGTCCAAAATGCACGTGAAGAGAAATTCCATTATAGCACACAAGGACTACTTATTCGAGCTACAAAGAAGGGTAGATTCGATGTTCGTTACTTTTATGACCACATGAATCGTCTAGTTGTTCGTAAAGACAATGTAAATAATGTCACTCAGTTCTTCTACAACAATCAGGAACGTCCATACGAAATTTCACAAATTTATTCACCACGTGATAATAAATTGATGTCACTTTATTACGACGATCGAGGCCACTTGATATTTGTACAGACATTTAGAAATAAATATTATATAGCAACAGATCAATGCGGTACACCTGTGATGGTTTTCAATCAGTATGGTGAGGGTATTAGGGAGATGATGAGATCACCATTTGGTCATATTGTTTATGACTCGAATCCTTACTTGTACTTGCCGATTGACTTCTGTGGGGGTATTTTGGATCCGGTAAGTTGAGATCTTAATCTATTTATATACAAAATCTGTCAAACTGACTTAGATCCATATCAAAATTTTCAAATTTCGATTAGTTCCGCTAATCCACAAAAAAAATTTTCAATGTTTGTAACAAATCTCTTTTATCTTATTTTTTCTCTCTCAATATCCAGGCCACATCTCTCGTTCACATGACAAATGGAAAAGTTTACGATCCACTCGTCGGTCTCTGGATGACACCGCAATGGGAAAATACATTTGAAAGAATTCCAAATCCAACTAAACTTCACCAATATCGTTTCAATGGCAATGACCCTGTAAATGCAAGAGTCAACCGTAAGCCACCATCATCGACGATGGAATGGCTAAATGCAATTGGCTATAAAATTGACAGTATGGCGCCACAGTTTAATGATGATTTATGGAATGTTCCATCACCATTCGATGTTCAGAAGGAAAATTTCGTTCATCATGGCGGCTTAAAGATTGCATCAGGATTCTTATCACATCTTAAAGAACGTCGACTGACAAGTCAAGAGAACTTTGAGACATCCAAAGAATCCGAATTACGATCAAATTCATCACCATTTAGTCAATTAAGAGTCGGTTCATCAGCAGATCCAGCGTTTGGTAAAGGCATTGTCGTAACAAGAACATTGGAAGGTCAAGCAATTGTCTCAAGTGTTCCAGCAGCAAATGCCATTTATCGTGACGTCTATACATCAGTGTTCAACCGCACATTATTACTGCCATTTACTTTCATTATTCACAATTCACTTCATGATGTTTTCCATTTTGTGAAGGAAGACTCATGGCGATCGAGTGAGGATAGACAGCAATTGAAGCGTCTACAGGGACAAGTAAATACAACATTCCATGATGTAGTCAATAAAGAGAATTCCAGTGGCAATAATTATTTAGATGTTAAAATTCATGGTACACATGCAATTATTAATCTTCGGTATGGTACGACAGTCGATAAAGAGAAGATAAGATTGATGCATCATGCAAAATTGCAAGCAGTAAGGAAGGCGTGGACACGCGAAAAAGAATTACTTGCTGATGGACTATTAACATCTACGGAATGGAATCAAGCTGATATGGATGAGATATTGAAGCAAGGCTACTCAAATTATTACGATTGTCAATACATTCATGATGTTAATATTTATCCTGAACTGTCCGAGGACCCATACAATATTAGATTTGTAAAGAAAAAATTTAATCAAAGTAAGAAGCGACGACGACGAGAATCGAATAATGAAACAGAATCAAACGAATTTGAAAGTTGAATTAAATGAAATTAAATTCGATTATATTCAATTAAAATTTATTTTGTAGAATATAAAAAAAAAAATTCTCTCTCATCAGCGTCTTAATTTAAATTGAGACAGAAAAGCTCGAATTTTGCTCTATCGCGCGAAATAAAAAAATTTAATTGAGATAATTAAAAGGAAAAAAAGGTAGGAAAAAAATTTCAGCGAGAATCAAAGGAAAAAAACAAAACTGGAAAGATTTTATTTTTAATTAAACGCTTATTAAATGTTTAACATAACAGTATGAATTAAGGCACGACGAATGGAAGCTTTTACGAATTAATTTAATTTACTTGGGATATAGGCATAGAAGATGAGAGGAAGGGAATTAATATGGAGGGATATTATTGTGCTTTTTATGAAGAGTTTTGAGGTGGATAATTTGCATTGGTTTGAAAGTTTTTTGAGAATTTAAATTTCGTAAAATTTTCAAAATTTTATCCACAAAAAACTCTTCATAAAACCAATAAAAACAAAATTTCATAACAATAATTAATCACAGAAGAGATGTAAGAATGTTGTAGAAACTAAAATAAAAATCTTTCATGTTGTACGTGAAAGTTTGCATGGTGATTGACTAGAATGACTCAAAAACTGTAACTGTTTTTATATCCCTGAAAAAAAAATGTAATGATTGTGTATGCAAAAAAATAGACGTGGGTGTAAATTTAATGAAATATACAATAACAAAATTGGATACGAATCATATTGTGAAGATCTATAGAATTATTTCAATCTGCAGTATGAGTCGGAATTCGATTAAATTATTAAAAATATAAAAAAAGTTTAAGATTAAAAAACAAATAAATAATTAAGTTAATGGAAAAAAAAGTGGAGGTTAGGGACGAGATTTAAAAAATTTTCCGATCAACAACGATTCTAAGTTTTGGAAAAAAATAAAAATACTGCAAATTCAAAAAATAAAATTTCAAAACATTTTCGTAAATAAAATCCCAAAAAAAAATTGATTGTTTTTAAAAAGTTTCAAAAATCTCCCAACCTAGAAAAACCAAAAAAAAAATCTACCAACAAAAGAAAATTGTATAAATAATATTAATAACTTTTGTATCATAGTAAGACGTAATGAATTAACAATTATTATTAAATATATTACTTATTGTTGTTATTATCAATATCTATGTTCCTTCATGGCTCTCTCTTAATCGAGATAATAGCGCTAAAAATCCACACAACAATTATTAATTATAAATGATGAAAAAAACTACTCAAAAATCCTTCCATGCAGAACACAAAAAAAAAATATGTAAGATGAAAAATTTACAAGAAAAAAAATACATGATTGAATAAGAAAAAATGATACAAAAAACTTTATAAATAGCATAAATGGGGTAAAATATTATTAGAAAATAGAGAGATATTATTTGAAATTTTTTATTTGTGGTGTTCGAGATGGACTTCATGGACTTGAATGACTTGGGGAAAAATAAATAAATTTGAAAATTTCAAGAATTGGAAATTTAAAATTTATTCAAAAAAGCTTTCGAAAATTTAAAAGAAACTTCTGAAAGTTCAAAAAAGCTCTCAAAAATTTTAAAAAACTTCTGAAACTTCAAAAAAAATTCCAAAATTGCAAAAAAGCTTCAACATTTTTTCAAAAAAATTCAAAATTTCATAAAAGCTTTCAAAACAGTTAAAAAGCTCTTTTCAATGTTCAAAAAATCTCAAAAAAAGCTTCAAAATGTTCAAAAAGCTCTTAACAATTTCAAAAAGCTCGCGAAAAAATAAAAAAGCTTCTAAAAGTTAAAAAAATTCATTCACATTTTCAAAAAAGCTCTCAAGATATCAAAGAAGCTTCCAAAAATTCAAAATCTCTCGAAAAGTTCAAACCATACAATTCTACGTGGACTTCCAATCCAAAATCTCTCGTAAAACCACAAAATTAATTTGTTTTCATATTTTTTCCACAAATTTACTCCCAAATGATTGTAATTAATGGAGAACATTATCGTCTTCATTCAAGTTCTTGTTATTAATTTCCTTATTTATTGCATTCATTCAACGACGCTTCTGTTTTCATTCCAACATCTTTGTTCGATTATTTTGATCTCATTTTAAATTATTTGTTTTCTTCATTAAGTTGTTTAAACTCTTTTGTTTTAATTGTGATATATTATGTAAGACTGGGTATAAGATATAAATATGAAAACATTAATAAAAAAAATATGAAAGGACATAAAAAATTGTAAATTAAAAATCCAAATGATGATAAAAAGCCGAAACCAAAAAGAAGAAAATTAAGATGACAAAAAAATAAATTTGAACATATTGTAAATAGCGGAAAAAAGTATCTATAATAAATATTTTGTAATTAATCAGAAATACATTTAAGAATTTTTTATTTTTTGTTTTACTTTACAAATTAAATTTCAGCTTTGTTATTTCAAATTAGTACGCGAGTCTGCCAGATCTCTATAGAGTAAAAGTAAGTACCTGCGAAGTTAAGCTGCTGGATAACAGAACGGGAAAGGGTTCGATCCCTAATATAAGTTGTCATTTCATTTTTATATAAATAGAAAATTTCGATCTTCCTTAAATCTTCAAAATTAGCTTTGCGTGTTGTTATCACACCTATAGGCTTCATGTCAGAGTCAAGTCAGCTTGGCACTGGATTTCTTTTCGATTAACCAACTTGTGCTATTCAGGATTATTAAGAATGACTACCCTTCTTAGCACAGGCTAAAGAATTCATATTCAACGTGAATCTAAAATTTAGTAACCACATCCTACAAAGATTCACTTTGCTTATAAACTCTGCCTCATCATATCCACTTCTATGTCTTCTTTGCAGCATTTCTATCACGAATCCCCAAAAGCCTTTACCCAAACAATGTCTTGAAAAGCTCTTAATTTCCTAACTCAAACAAAATCAGGAAGAAAACACTTCGAATAAAATAATAAAAATCTTTTTAAAATGTTTGCTTTCCATTCAACACAAAAAGGAGGAAGCAGCCGATTCAGAAGCAATAATTTATTTATTCTCATCACACATCCACATTAAAAATGCGTCATACTCAAGTTCACAATCAACACTTTATTTACACTTTCAGTGCCAAGATTTTTTTTTCTCAAATTTTTGTTTTGTTTACATGAAAAAAAGAAGCAAAATTTTTTTTGTTGTCAAACAAAACTTTTTACAAGCCGGTCAGCACGTGGTTCGATGTTTATAAACACAGAGAGTAAAATGAGAGAATTTTTGTGAAAACTTCAAGAGAATCTCGCAATTTTATGAGAGTTGAGATGAAAATTGTGAAAAGTTTCAGAGAATTTTCCAATTCATAGGCAACGCATGCTTGTCATTCATATCAGCCCCACAAAAAGTTGCAAAGTTTCAACGTCACTGGTGTAAAAATGAACAATTTTGTACCCAATATTCCACATTTTCCCCATAAAATCGTTCAGTAGAGAGCCAACAGCCGCTTCGATAAGTCAACTCGCGTAAAAATTTTTGTTATTCAATTTTTGGATTTAAAATTACGCAAAAATCCTGAAAATTCTTTAGATAGACTCAAAATTGACTTTAGTCAATCGTGAAATGTTGCAATTTTGATAAAAGTTGATTAAATTAGGCTTATAAAAGATGATTTTTGCATTTCGAACAGCAATAATTTCAATTTTATTATTTTTCTTCATATTTATACCGCAAAATGAGGTTCAATCGTCTGTCGAATCGGAAATGTGAGTATAATAAAAGTGAAAAATTGTGAAAAATTTCTACGTTTTAGGGAAAAAATATTATTTCATGGATCTAAAAATAGAAAAGAATTTTCGCCTAGATTTTCCCCAGTGCGCAAGCCACAACGTGAAACATTTTCCTCAAACTACAGACTCAATTCCTCATGTTTCGGTGAACTAAAATGTCGAGACAAACTTTTTACTGCCAATTAGCATTTTTTTGAATCAATTATTGTAAGACATGAAAAATATGATCGGAAAATAATTTCTTTTGAGCATGAAAAATTTTCTTTGCTGTGAAAAATTTCTATTTTTATAGAAAATTGAGAGAATTTTCCTCTCATTTTCTCAATTTTTCCTCTCTCGACTCTCAAAGTTTTTCAATATTTTCCTCATTTACTCTACAAGATTAGTTCATGATTAGCAATTTTAGCAATATTTTATTAATTTTGATAAGCTGAATTAATTGCGGAACTTTTTTTGCCAGCAACGATTAAGAATGTATCTTGAAATCACCCAAAATAGGCGTGAAGTTTGGCATGAAATCATTACTTTTAATTGCTAATAAAATAAAACTATGAACAAAATGCTGTTTTGTAGTTCTTTGCGATAATGAGCATAACTAAGAAAATGTTTTGTTTGTTGTTGTGGTCGATATTGTTGTTTATGCTTTGGGTCATGAGCACATCTGGTGGGATTTTTGTTTTGGGTTGAATTGAAATTAGTTGATTATGATAATCGTTGTAGTTTGTTGTGTTGTTTATAGTCATTAGGGATGTTGTTTTATAAACATTTTAGCGAGAATTTGTTATTTTCTAGACACTGTCAAGCGATTGAGTGAGTCATACTAGCCTCTACAAAGGCCACATTGCACCAAAAAGCTGAACAATCTGACATTAAATTCACTTTACATCCCACCACGATTTAAACTCGCAATTAAATCATTTTTAACAATTCTCACATTTTTTTAACTTCAAAAATCTTCACCAACTCGTTAATTACAATTTCAGCATTTACTCAAACTGAAAGTCTGTCTAAACATTTCATCATTTTCGATAGTCACATTTGCAGAATTTTATTTTTGCAAAAATATAATAAAATTTTCACTAAATTGTTAATTTGTAAATGTTTATGTCTGAAATGAAAAGCTATTTTGTTGGGGTGCAGTAAAATTTATTTCATTTACACATTTAACACTTTTTATTTCCATAATTATAATTTTGCATGCCTTACTAGCCGTAAAATTAAGAATCGTAGTCGCATGTAAGCATTTAGTGAATTTTACAAGCCTTAATTGACATTTTATGGATGAATTTGTTTGTTACATTGAAAGGAGGTGGAGTCAATGATAGGCAATTGAAGCTGAAACATGAAAAAACCACTAGAAAAAAAAGCTAGTTTAGACATAAAAAAAATCTAATTTACAAAACTTTTCACAATTGAAAAAGTGACAAAAAAATAAACGACACCCCATCCACATGACATTTTCAAATAGTCTAGCCACTACAGTCATTTCCGACTTACTTTATTTACCAAACATTTATTTTAGCGGCACAACTTATTAACATTTATCACAAAAATATAAAAACAAATTCTCATTCATAAATAAATTTCAATTTATTTACAATTTTCAGTGTCGATAAGTGGGCAGAAACATTTGGCAATGAACTATGGGATTTGGCGCAAAAAATGACAAAGTCAAATGAGATCAAAGCGGTAAGTGAAATATTTACTTGACTTTGTTATTACAGCTGTGATGGATTTGTAGTTGCAGTAAATTGGGGTTGGTTCTTTTGATTAAAATTCATCTTGACAATACAAATTAACATCCATAAATTCACAGCACAGTTCACAGAAAATAAAAATAATTTTTCCTTCTCATTTAACCTATTTTACTGTAGCGCTACAAAACTCTAAACGCAAAAGTCCAAGAGAAGGATGGAACAATTTTAATTGAGGATATAGTTGCATCAATAGGTCGCATGTTGAATAGAAAAATGGATGCAGTAAAATGTATTGTTACAAAATCAGAGGAATATGCGGAAGAGTTTCACCGCAATGAAATGATAAAGGAGGATTTTCACTACTATTCAAGTAAATTCTCATTGGTAAGCCACACATTCTAATGCCATTTTCTAAAAAAAAAGACATTAAAAAAGAACTTTTTTTAAGGTAAATGGATTGAACCTAACAAACCGCAAATATACAGACTTTGAAGAAGAGAACGTGCAGAATAATACATTTATAAACATGACATTTGATCGTGATTCACATTTCTTTGATTTAGAAGTCAGCACGGAGCACAGTTCCGTTCACGTACCAACAAATGTCTACGACAAGGGACCGGAAGCAGCTGAATTCATTCAGTGGTCTGAAGTGCTTGACGATGTATTTCGACAAAATTACAATTCCGATCCAGCATTATCGTGGCAATATTTCGGAAGTAATCTTGGTATTATGCGACACTATCCGGCGATGTCATGGGTGAGAAATAAAACAGATACATACGATTGTCGTAAAAGATCATGGTACATTGAAACCGCAACATGTTCAAAGGATGTCGTTATCCTGCTTGATAATTCAGGCTCAATGACTGGATATAGATTTTATATTGCACAATTAACAATTAAGAGCTTACTAGGGACATTTTCGAATAATGACTTCATAAATATATTCAATTATTCTAAAATAACGGAAGATGTCATACCGTGCTTTAAGGATAGTCTCGTACAGGCAACGCCCGAAAATATTCAAGCATTTAATGACGCTGTGGCTGAGCTTATACCTGAAGGATATGCAAATGTCACAACAGCATTGGAGAGAGCATTCAAATTGCTTGCAAAATATCGAGAAATTCGTCGATGTAATGAGTCATCGACCGGATGTAATCAAGCAATTATGTTGGTGACTGATGGTGTGCCTGGAAATGCTACAGAGATTTTCGAAAAATATAATTGGTATGGTAATGATAGTAAATCGTATCCGGTGCGAATATTCACATACTTGCTTGGTAAAGAAGTGACAAAAGTGAAGGAAATCCAGCTTTATGCATGTATGAATCGTGGTTTCTACTCACATATCCAATCAGTTGATGAAGTTGCTGAAGAAGTTCTCAAATATGTTAATGTTGTAGCAGCTCCGTTAGTGCTGCAAAAGAAAGAACATCCACCAACATGGACGCATGCATACATTGACTTAACATCAAATCCGGAATTTGATGAAAGTGATGACGATGAGGAGGATAAAAAGAAAGAAAAGACAGAATTACGAATGATGATTGCAGTTGGTGCACCAGCATTCAATTTGTCATCATATCCTGAAGGAAATTTTACTGGTCGACCGACATTGCTTGGTGTGGCTGGCACTGATATACCACTTGAGGATATTAATCGTATGGCATTACCATACAAACTTGGTGTCAATGGATATGCATTTATTGTATCAAATAATGGATATGTGCTGTTACATCCTGATTTACGACCACTGGATCCGGAACATCCTGACCAAATTAAGAATAACTATAACAGTATAGATTTAACGGAAGTTGAGCAATTTGAGGCTGACTACGATCCTCGAGATCCTAGTGAACAATTATTAGAACTTAGACAAGCTATGGTTAATCATACATCTGGAAAAATATTCGGAGTGCCTGTGAAATTTCATTATGACAAAATGAGACGTGTAGACCACACAAGACAAGACTTTTACTTTGCGCCCATCCCACACACGCCTTTCTCGCTTGGAATTGGTAATTTTCAAATGAAAATATAGAACATGTGTTGTAGAAATTGAAAAAAAAAATCATTAGATAACATTTTCTGCACATCAGGTTCCTCAAAACTTCAATTAACTCCAACAAACTTTTTCTTTCCACACTTCAGCACTTCCACACGACTACGGCAACACTTGGATAAAAGTTGGCGATGAAATTCAACGCAACACTTACACAAAGGTCAACATTTCTGACTTTTTTGTTGGAGAAAATTGGAAAATTCATCCTGAATGGGTTTATTGTCGGTATCATTACTTGGAAGGTCACGAGTTTCTAACGCCTGAGCAGGAGTTGAGAGAGTTCTTGAGGAAAATTGTTGAAAAAGACTGGAAGTGGTCACAGCAATATGAACCTGATGCTAATGCTGACAAAGAAAGGGATACGAATGAATGTGAGTATTGTTAAGGGTTGTTAATCTTCACTACTAGTTTAGGCTTTACCATATTCTAAAGCATCCATTCCAGCTCGTTTCTATAAATTCCATAAAATATCTTCATATCTTAAAAAGAGATTTACTAGCTATTGACATCTATCCATAAATTTTCATAATATTACCACATTGAATATCTGCCAATCAGCTTGTCTTCGTTCCGATATTTGATAGATTCTTTTTATGTAACTCTCTTCCAATGCACAACCACAAACTGCAAATCAAGCATTCCATCCTTTATCTCCCTCATTATTGACTTTCAATCATAATTTTTTCCCTTTCTTTTTAACGAATCTTCGTCGCCATAGTGAATTGTGGACGTAAGTCTCTAAGCGATGACGCATATTACTGTAATAAGGAGCTCGTTGAATTATTAGTATTTGACGCAAAAGTGACAAATGATAGTTATCAATCATGGACTTTTAAGAGTGACGCTGAACGCGAGATCATTGAACGTTATAATGCAACCGTTCGTTACGTATCAACAATGAGTGGCTTGACACGATGGCAATTTATCTTTGGTGAAGTTGAGGTCGACACGGATACAGAGTTTGGTGATCTATACTCGTCATCACTCAATGAGCCATGGTATAAGAGTGCTGTACTTCAGCATCGTATTGATAAGCAAAGCTTCATCTATTCGGTTCCGCATTTCAATGATGATGATGATGTCGATAAATCGGATCCGGATTTGAAGGTAACAGCATCAATGGCCATTTTCCCACGTGATGGTGGTAAGGAAGCTGCTTCAGCTGTTGTTGGATTTCAATTCTCTCACAAGCAAATGTATGAGAGGTTTATGGAAATTACAGCTATGGTCAATGTAAGAATGAATTTTAATCTATGTCTGGGTTGGGAGGCTTAAAAGCTTGAATGACTATGAAAATGCGCTATAACCCCTCAAAACTCAAAAAAATTCTTACTTTCAAATTAATTCTCTTTTTATCTCCCTTTTCACACATACAAAAAAAATCCAGTGCGACGACTGCTTAAAATCATGCGGAGCCGACGAACAGGATTGTTATGTTATTGATAACAACGGTTATATCATCATATCAGAGGCAAATATGAACGATACAGGAAAATTCTTTGGCGAAGTTGAAGGAGCTGTCATGGAAACAATGGTTGAGGAGAGCATATTTGATCGTATTACGATATATGATTATCAAGGATTATGCAAAAACGTGACGAGGGGAAATGAGACAAAAAGTGATGAGAATTGTGCGCGAGGATTGACGACGGTACGTATTATTTTTTGAGTGAGCTTAAAAGGAAGTGATTATGGCATTGTATCTATGGGAATTAAAGAGTGGACATCCATAAGAGAGCTTACAGCTTTTTAACTTCATAAAAATCTTATTACTTTCACAATTCCTTAAATTAAGTGCATACAACTGCATAAAGTCGTTGAGCAATTCTTATGACGAAAATGACATCGTAAAAAGCTCGTAATATTAAATTCAAAATTATGTTCAAAGTTGTTCTAGATAAGAATAAGTGTCTTTCCTTATTCACCTTCTTATGATTTTATGTCGAACTTAATAAAACATAAAATAAAAGGATCGCTGAATCGGGGACGTATCGACAAATTGGGGAGGGAGGAGGTCTATATATTGAGCCTGAGATCGAAGTTAAACATTACAATTGATCCAAATTTTTAATAATACAACAGAAGGATTAGCTGTTGAAGCTGACTTTCTTCTTACATTCCTTGGTATTAAATATAAAATTCATACAAAAGAAATCAATAAATTTTCAACATAAACCTCAAAATCCAATTCAGTGAGTCACAAACAACCAATTCTCAACAACCTAATTCCATGTCAATTTTTTTATATGATTCTACATTTTACAGCCGCCATTCCAATCTATACATGTTCATGCAAATTACCTTTAAATGCTTTTCATTTCAATCGATCGTAAAATTATTTTTTTTATCGTCACTTCCATGAATAACGTCTTTAAATGGCGTCTTTCAGTGGTTTACTCAAAATGAATACGACAAAGGGGTTCTATTCCAAAGTAGCTCTGTTTCGGCCCTCAATCATTAAGCTTTAAATTTTTCTTCACTTTAGAAGAGTCCTTTTTCTTACCAATTTAAGTGGTTTAGCAGATTTCTGTGGCCCCCTTCCCTAGTTGAGATTCAGAATAGCTTTTAAATCATTTCAAATAAATTAATTTCTCATTTTTTGTCGCATGCAAATTTACAGCCACTGAAGCTTTTACTACTCGGAATGAAATATATCTTCACGGAAATGATAATTGAGCTATCACGCATCAATTTGTGGACAACAAGTGCGCCATCGCCTGATTATGATACAGATTACGCAGATTTTGGCAAGACAAAAAAGCCAATAACAGATTCACATGCACCACAAAAGCCAGTCTTACGCGGTAAAGGTGCTGAAGCTATGGAAGCTGAAGAATATTTCAAAAATAAAGAATTACGTGAAGCGCAAGAAGTAAAAGATCATTATCGTCCATGTGATAAACGAGTTGACTTGTATGTTGTTAATGAAACATTTATACGTGGTGAGCATTCATTCTCATCGGTGGATAAAGATGCATTACCCGAGCACAGAAGGGATGCTGATGATGTTCGGTAATTAATTATTTTTTTCGGCTCTACATTCCACTTTGCATGTAATTATTTTTAACAATGTCCACATCTCTCTCTTTACAGACCATTTTATGTTAGCCGCATTCGATTTTCTAATCTACTGCTGGTCGTTATCAACCAAATGGAAGGAAGTAGTGTTCCCATTGAGCTTACAACAAAACCAAGAGAGATTTATACATTGAACTATTATAATGCAACATTTCCATGCTATAAAAATTACATGAATGAATTACCCCGTCGACGATTAGATGAGTGCTTTGTAAGTACTGTTGGGATGTTGAGATTTTAATTCATACTAAATGATGGATGGGGGGGGGGGGGGGTTATTTGTCTATAAGTTGAGCTAGTTTTATTTTAAATTATTTACATGGAAGCTTTACTAGCTGCAAATTGAGTGAATCTTGATGGAGAAACAACTCCTGTTGCTCCATCTGTCCCATAAACACCTCCATCCTCTATACAATTTTATGTTTCCTCTAGAAACAATAATACAATTTTCTTTTATTTATCTTTCCTTTTTTTTCAACAGACGGAACATCAAGAGGAAGAGGAAATGGCGTATTGTGGCTCCGCATCGCGCATCAAATCTACATTGTTGCTCCTGTCGTTACTGCTGCCAATGTTTTATCTCCTGAGATTTAAATGAACAAAAAAAAAGACCCTTAATTAAGTTTTTTTATTTTTTGCATTGTTGTTGTTATAACCTTTTTACAAACTTTTTTTTATTTTGTAATATTTTGATGGGAGAATGGTAGACCATTTGGTGGATATGGTGGGTGGGGGATGTCGAGGGGATTTAGAAATAATCATATTTATTATTTGGCCACTTTTGCTCAACCTAGCTCAACCATTTGTTAAGCTCAGCACACAAAACTGCAACATTAGCTTAATTTTTTCATATTTTTAATATAGTTTTTAATTTTGCATTACTCAAAAATTATTGAAATTGAGTCTCAAAAAAAACCCGAAATTCTGACAATCTTAACCGAACATTACGCCTGTGAAACGTAAAACTTCATCTCTTCTTTATTTATTTGCCTCTTTTTCATCAGCTTGTCATTCTATACTGCTACTAACGACAAAGGTGAAACTGAAAAATGATGCCAGAGTTTACTCATTTTTTTTTTGCTCGAGATCTTGAAGAGCAATTTACTCCTTTGTCAGAATTAAGTGGCGTTTATAAAAAAAAGGTGTGAAGAAGACGATGCTTTTTGGAAAGGATTCTTGAAGTTTCTTGTTATGTTGAATAGGATATTTAAAGTGTTGATCGCTTTAAAGAGGATAGACATGGAGATATTTAAAGAATCTAGTATTTTGAAGATTTAATAGGTTGAGGGATGTTAATTCAATCGGTGATGGGATTCATAAGAATATCACAAACCTTTTTTAAACTTTTAAATCAAACTAAAGTTTAAAAAACCTTCCATAAATTTTTTAAATTGACCAACAAATAATCAAAACTACGTCCAATTTTTTACTGCATTCAAAAAAATGCATTTGAACTTATTTGTCATTAATTAAAAAATATATCAAATTGTTTCATAAATTTCAATGTTTCGCATTTTTGAAAATATAATCATTTTTAGATATAATAATTTAGCACATTGAGTAAAATGTGAAAACATAAAATTTTTGTAATGATCCAATGAGTGCCCTGTTAATGGAACCAAAATGAATTTCTTGTTGTGTTTCATGAAAATTTCAAATTTTTAATAATTCATGAAAAATAATTTTTTTTGTAGATTTATTTTTTGTATTTTTCTAGTTTTTAAAGCAAAAAAACTACAAATTTTTTGAACAGAACACTGCATGAAATATTTTATATATGTTAAAAGAGTTTTTGAATTTTACTCAAGGTTCCGTAGCTTATATTTTGACTTTTAAAACCTGCGGAATTCTCAATTTCAATTTTAGAAATGTTCATTTTTTTGTAAGAATCACATTTGCATTACTTAACATAAGTAACAAGCAACTAGTCATAGTTACTCAATCTGATCTTAGGTATACAAAAAATTAGCCAAAATTGAAATAAATCAAAAACCTAGCTATATTTCTGTTAGAAGTTATTTATTAAAATAAATTATTTATGAAGAAAATATAATAAAGATTTTTAAAAAGTTGACGATTTAAATTAATTGTGTTTTTATTAAAGTGGATTTAGGACCGATTCTTCGATGAGAAAAATAGGCAACTACTCTAATAGCCAGCCTTGTTTAAGAGGGTCTCGAGACCATCCACATACTTATTTAAAATATTTTGAGGTAACGGTGCTTTCCAGCGTGCTTCAAAATCATATTTATTGTCAATTAAAATAATTATCAATATAAAAATTAAAAGATGACATGAAGGAACCACAAAAAATGTTTAAATCATGAAAACTTCCATATCAATTGAAACCTCACGATTCATCCTTTTGAATTGAGTTTTATAAATACATTTCCGTGCAGATGAAAAACAGCCCATCATTTATATTTATTTACTGTTCATTATATTTCAATTTCATTCAGATTTCAATATTCTTTATGTAGGATGACTTCTTTAACACACAGTTCTGTTGCATATTTATTTTTTTCATCTTTTATACATTCAATATTGATACATCAAATTGAAAGAATAATTGTAAATATGCGTCCGCATTGCGAGGAAATTTAATTTGTTTGTGACCTAAATTTATTGACAGAATTGCGACTTTCTTTTTTATTGCATCGAGTAGTACAGCCGAGTTGTAGTTGGTTGTATGAATATTTGCACGATGTTATTGCGTAATTATGAAAATAAGCTGTGCTTATGACAGGCTTAAATATTTTCTGTTGACTAAGTTCATCAAAATATGTTTTTGTTTGGTGGTTTTTTGGATTCTTAAAGCGTTGTTAAATGCGGATCAAATGCAAGCATATCCATAGTCTGGCATGCCAACTTTAGCCAGCTAAATTGATAGCTTATTCTTGTTAGAAGACGTCGATGCAAACCCTACAATTTTTGAGACAAACTGGGTCTTGATTTTTAAAGATTGTGTCAGTCACCAACCTTAATTAAAAAGAAAACATATCAGCTTCTACTAAGGGAGCTTTTGGCAAGTTAAAACACAGATCAATTTATTAAAAAGTAAGAGTATCTTATTTGGGAGTCTAAAAATCCTTGTTACAGTACAACAGAATTATAAAAACTTCATTAATCTCCCCTGTTAAAACCTTCCTGTTCCTAAAACTTCAAGAATAAATAAATCGATAATTTAAAAGAAGAATAAAATCACATTAAACATAAAATTTTATTTATTCGTTGCCACTTTTGATGGATATTATTTTATGATAATGTTAAAAACACAAAATTATGTGACTGAAATATTTATTTTGTAAAAAACACTCTGAAATTGAGCTGAATGTTGTTGAAAAAAAAATAAAATTTTACTTTTTTTTGGATGAAAAAATAACAGAATCGAATTTTCAGTGAGTTTGTTTGTGTTTTGAATTTTTTTTTGTTCTATTATTGCTGTTCTTTTTTATCAGAGGCAAATTTTTATGAGGAAAATTCCAGACACAAGAATTGAATGAATTTTCTCGGAATTTACTGCATAAATAATATTTTTTTTTTCATACGCGTGTCGAATGAATTGAATCGGAATTTTGATGGTGGATGTTTAAGGATTTAAGAACTTTTATGGCTTTTTTTTTGAAGATGTTTTTAGAATTTTTGATTTGTTTTGTTACACGTGAATGATATTTCTTATTCTTGTTAAGAATTTAAAACGGTTTGTAACAAAGGACGGTATATGTGGTGCCAGGTCTATTAATTTTCCATAAAGCTCCTTTTTGGGACATCATTTGTAAACAAAACTTAACATTCAAACTTAATTTAAACCCCCAGAAACAAATTCCTGTGAAAAAGACAATGACCAGCTTAAAAGATGATCATAATTGAGTGACAAATTAATTCACCGAACATAAGCACCTCAAATATTCTTTTATTCTCACATCCATTGCTACAAATAAAAAGTATCTGTAAACTTCCTCATGTCCATTATGGCAAGTGAAATTCACACTTTAGCTCTTTGTCTAAAAAGCAACAAGGAAGAAGTTTTTTTTGTGTGAGTTTGTGCATTTCACACTTTTGAAATTAAAACAAGAACTTTTACTAGAGTTGTACAAAAAAAATTGTAGAAGTTGGGATGTGCTGGATGAGGTTGGTTTGCTTAGCGATTTCTGTTATCTTGATATTGAAAACTAATGTGAGATTTCTTAGCTGATCGATTTGAAAGTTTTGGACCGTTCTTGAATGCTATTCTAGAACCACAAATGACTCTGAGGTTAGAATATCAGTCATCTAGCAATCTTAGGTTTATTCGGCACCAGTCAAACTTCAGGTAAATTTCTTTAATTTTAGAAAAGCTAGTTCTTAGCAAAATAGCTGAAAATGACTTCCTAAGTTCAGGAGGCTAACATTACCAAACTGACACACACAATCCATCAAATACCTCAAAAACTAGCTACAAAATAGAAACAATAATACTTAAAACTACACAAAACTCCCATCATGCTATTTACAAAATGTGTAAAAATAAAAAAGTTTTCTTTTTTTTCAAATAAGAGAAGCAACAAAAACAAAGTTTTGCTAACTCATTATTTCGTTCTCATCTCTCCACTTGACATAAACTTGACAACATTTAGTGAACCCAACTTGTTGTTGTTGTTGAATTAATCCTCTCACTATTTTAACAGCATTACTTCGTTTTATGTCGTTTCAGAACTGAAAAAAAATGAGAAGAAAAAGCTTAAAAGATTCTCAACACAAATGGAATGGACGTGTAGATGAGATATAAGGAAATGAAGAATTTTGACACTACAAAGATCTTTTTTTGTGGTTTGATTTGAGGACTTATTAAGGAGCTTGGGGTCGTTCCCTTATGACGTCTGATATTAACGTTAACGGTCATTTTACAAAATAGAGTAATGTAATTCCAGGAATTTCTATTGTTCTTTCTTTCTGATCCCCCCCCCCCCCCCCCCCTGGACGTCCTCAGTGAACGGCTTCATTTTAATTTTGTGGAGATATTAAAGAATTTCCCTGGAATAAATTTTTGATTTGACTCAAAATAGGCAATAAAAAGCCTATGTTTAAGCAAATTTAGAGGAATTGCAACACCATAGCTGCATTTCAGTGGTAAAGGGGTCCACTGAATGTTTTTAATAAAGTCTGAAAATAGAATCATCATGTTGCCTATTAGGGTGGATTTCTAATTCTCGATACAAAACCATAAAAGCAATTTTAAAAGAAAAATAACAAACAAAACTCTTGATTTTATTTCTCAAATTGTCTAGTTTTATTAATTTTTAAATAAAAAATATAAAGTCAAAACATTTTTATTGCGATAATTTTTGTGGAGTGTCGAGTGTTATCTCTGCACATTAACCTTATTTGCGTTGACGTAATCGCAATCAGTCTTATCACAAAAATTTTGAGTCTGATTCAGAAAACCTTGAATTGTGCTGAAAATATCTTACCTTATCTCGAGTGAGTATTTGATTAAATTACTTATTAAGTTTTTCGGTGATAATGGTTGTTAACCTCAAAGTGAGTAAAATACTTCAAAAGCTAATCTTAATCTTTAATGAAAAATTATTTTTGGGTATTTTTTAATTGGTTCCAGCAAGATATGATTGAAATTTTATGAGATTCAGTCAAAAACTTATCCTGCTGGGAAAACAAAAATTATTTATATCGATGATACCGGAGTTTTAAGGGCTAAAATCTACTAGACAAATGACTAGGGTTACCATCTAATTTTCATGAAAATACAGGACTTTTGGTAAATTTTTTCGAAAAATACAGGACACAGAGTAAAATTCGAAAAATAACGGAAATTTTCGTAAAAAAAATACAGGACCTGGAACAAAGTTTCCAAATTTATACAGGACAGGGTTTTGAAATACAGGACTGTCCGTTGTAAAACTACGCAGATGGTCACCCTACAAATGACCAATTGTATATTTTCTAGTTATATTTCTCATTTTTAGAAAGCTGTTAAGCCCAAATATGCCTCTAAAGAGTGCCATAGAGGCATAACTCTGAACTAAGGTGCAAGTTTATAAAAGGAAAATAAATCATCAATTTTGAAGGTTAGCTCAGCATCATCAACGTCGCAATCAGCACATCTACATCATTGATTCAATCAAAACAGCTTAAACCGGTTGACTATGACACATCGCCATAGAAAGTTGCATCATTGCATTTTGTTGTTTACAGCTTAAGGTCATATCCAGTCAGTCCAGATGTTTCAAAGCTAAACTAAACCTAGAGGCAATTTAAATATAAGCGATAATTTTAAATAACGGCTGAATCATTCCTATTTGTTTCTGTGTTCGACTTCTATTAAGTATTGAGAAATCTTTGAGGTCATCTTTGTTATTGTTTCTAATAGAAATGAGCGGAACGCCCTAAGTCGATCTGGTTTGTTTTGTTTTAATCGTGAGAATATTATTTCCTTATTATAATTTCTACAAATAAAATAATTAATTATTTTTGTGATTTAAAAGTTAATATACAAACCATTTAATCCAGTCATTTTGTTCGATCAAGTCATTTTCTCCTCAGCCATTTTGAGATTCTTCATCAAAAGACACAATTGAATTTTTGTTTCATTTGTTGTGCACAAGGGCATTAATTTTTGATGTAAATGACCTTATAACATTGTAACGAGAGGTTATGATGCACACTACACTTTCATATTTTATTATTGTCGTGTCTAGAATCTCAATTTTTATCACCCGAACTTTCGACGTGTGTCCAAAAATATAAAATTGTAGGAAAAAATCAACAATTTTGGAAGACAAATTTAGCTTGACATCCATGGTAAGAAAATAGCTGTTGCAGTTACATAGAGAAACGAAGTTTTTTTAGGTTAGGATCAAATTACAAATGCAGAAGCCAATAAAATGTAGAAAATGTTAGATTCAGCAGTGAACTGGTTTACATGCCTGGTTTAATATATGGAAAAATTTGAAAATTAACTGTTTCTGTTTCTGGACTTCCCTAAACTGTTCCTTAATAATTATCGATTCTCAAAACTTCGACTATTCTCTCGTATTCTCATAAATGTATTCTCTTCATTCTTAATGATATATCCACATGTTAAACAGAAACAAATACTTGAAAACAAATGCTTAATGATCCCCACATGCCAATATTTTGAAGGTCAAAAATCTCTACAAGAAGATTTTCTTCCGCTCACTTTTTTTTACCAGTTTTGCAGCTTAGTACAGCAAAGACATACAACATCTCGTTTTTTCAAAGAGTTTTACCCTCTAGGAACATTTGAAAGTCACAATTCCCACCAACAGAGCATTCTTATCTCGAAAAGAAAAGAAAGAATTGAACAAATGTTCAGAACAAACATTTCCAAACGTTCCATAAATTATTTCTAGTTTCTAGCATCACATTAGAAAGTCTAAAGTTTTTTTTTCCGACACATGTTTGTAGTTTTCTTTATGCAACATACTCCGCCTACGAATTGTAAACAGCACAAATGCACTAGATACAAAGTGTGATCATAAAATTAGAAATGACATTTTGTGTTGCTATTTTTAATACTTTTTTTTTTCTTTCTTGTTGAACTCTTGGGTTCTAGATTAAGCAGGCAGAATATTTATTTAGAATATATATAAAAAAGCTTTATTTTAATTCCACTCGTGTTTTTTTTTTCTCTCTTAATGTTATAATGCAAAATGTATATATGTGAGAATAAGAATATATAAAATTCAAACTGTAAATGTTTGAAGAATTATAATAAAAAGAATTTCGTTCAAGCACACGAAAATAATGAAATTAAAATATGCAAAAATATTATCAAAATGAGAAATGTAAATTTGTACCCTTATGTGATATTTTTGGCATTAATTTGGAATGTTAACTAATGGGGAAGAGTGATGGACTGAGTATGCTGGTCTAGGTTTAAAAATTCCTTGTGCTCCTATCAATGTCACAGCCCTTTAATGAAGGACTAGATTAAAATTTTCTTATATATTCAATTTTGATGTTTTCTAAGCTTTCTTAATCTTGAGGGGGTCGAGAGGTAAGGAGTCTTTGACAAATTATGGTCATAGCTAAGTTTCTACAGCCGCTAAGGGTATTTGATGTTAAAATTGACCAAAACTCGATGTAAGTCAATAGGACAGTGACAAAATGTCTCACAAAAAACCCTAGAATCGTCATTTCTTTTGTATTACTCGAGGCTTTATCTATCTCAAATATAATCATCAAGGCATGGACAAGAAAAATTATTTCATCCAATTTTATCCAGAACAAAGAAATTATTCTCCTATGGTCCATACCTTGATAATCATGATCAATACCACATCTGGACCCAAAAATGTAGAGAACAATATAAAAATGTGAGCTTTAAGAAGTGGATGATGACAAAATATCCAAATAAATCTCAATTTTTGGAAACTATCCCAAATATCCCAAAAATATCTAAAATAATCCCTGAGCCTGTATCCATTAAAAAATTGATATATCGTATCGGATCCTCAAATTATATGTCCAATACACTAAGGATTCGTTGGTATATCTTTATTATCATACAGACTCACGGATTATTTTGGATATTTTTGATATATTTGAGATAAATGGGACATTTTGGATAGTTTTCAAGCCTTGATTAATCTAGAACATAATCTATTTTGCTGTACAAATTCTAGACAATTACGGAATATGACCCAATATTCTGACCACTTATCTAATGACCCAAAAACTTGCTTCAATTTTCTTCATTTGCGTCTTGTCTATGTAAAACTTGACTGACGCTATTCAGAGAAATTGGAACTTGTAGCGTCATTTCTCATTTTTTTAACTTGTGAAACTTCAATCCAAATGGTTTAATTTGCTTGAATTTCACCTAGTTGAGTTGGATTCGTAAACATCACACACGCCAATCAAGTTTGCCTGATATTATATGACCAGCATTAGATATCACGTAAATAAAAATCAACAAAATGACTACGAACTCCAGCGACAAAAAAAAAATCTGACAAAATGTCACGCAAAGGCACAAAAAAAACATGAGCACATTTTTTTTTTGAAAAATAAAGATAACAAATAAGATAAAATTTTAGAAAAGCTTATTTACTATTTATTTTCTTCATATCCGCGTTTATATTACTTAAAAAATACCAAATTTAATCTGTCATTCGAAGAGACTTCTCACCATAATCAGCAAAAATAAAAATTTGTTTATTATTCATCCACATACATGAGACTACTTCATGAAAATTGATAATATTTAAAAAAGTATTTTTTTCTTTGATGAACTTCGAGTAAGATGAAAATATTAATTTTTTTTTTGTAACAAATTGCATTGAAGATATTTAATTAATTGTATGACTTCTTTTTGTAGAAAATGTTTTTAAAAAATTGACACAATTTTTTTCTCCATTTCAGTGATGCTTCTGAACACATTAACTTGAGACGCTATAGACTTATAAATATTATGTTTTTTTTTTGAAGATTACAAAACTGCAAAATCGGTCATGTAATTGGCAAACACAATTTTTTTAAGGTGTTGATGGTTCAAACCATGGATGAGATGTCGGCAATTCAGGTGAGTGGCAGTTGTTAAGATGAGGATGTGGTTGATTTAAAGTGAGCTGTGCTGTATATCCCACAGATGATTTCTTTGGGAAGTCAGCAGCTGGATCGACATAATGACGTGGATCACGATATGGGAATTTTGGAGCTTCTGGTCCAGATGCGGCCTTTGTAAATGGAAAATGTTGCTTTTGATGGCCGTGCTTGTCATTTGAATTGTATTCCTTATTCATTTTGAATGTTTATTTTTTCACTTTTTCACTTTTATTTTTATCTTTTTGCTATAAAAGTTTTGTATTTTATCGTTGATAAGAAATGTAAAAAAAAGTTTTCAATTAAAATCGATTTTTTTTCTCTCTTTTTTTTCATTCAACTCTTAAAAAACTTACAATTCACTTAAAGGTTTCGTTCACGACTGGCGTTAAATTTTTGTTTACAACTCAATTCTTGCCTGCTTTTTATGAAAGATGTGAAACTTTGTCAATGTGTTGGTAGGATCTTTGGATGTGGTAGTGATCAGGTCTCTAAAAACAACAGTTTATTCGATATACTGACAAAATGTGGTGTGTCGAATAGCGATAAATAGTCAAATGAATATTTATGAAGTTTTGATTTCCTGGAGGCTAAAGCGCATTTTTATAATTAATCTTGAGGTGGCCTCAACATGCTGTAATTCTTAAAAATACTTAGGAAACCTAGCCAATTCCTTCCAGGATCCTCAATGTAGACAGTCAAACCACAAGTACATCAGCAATGACTCTCCACAAAAATAGCTACAAAAACATTATAGAGAGCGTCTCATAAGCTAGTGTTAGTGACGCTCACATCAACTAGTATTAGTAAGCAGAATGTTTTTGTTTTGGTTTTTATGAGGAGAATACTTCAAGGCCTGTTATTACGAATATGGTATAAAAGAGCAACAAGCAGAAACTGCGTCGTACTTTTTTTGTATTTTTACATAAAAATTGTTCTTTATTTCCAGAAAAAGAAAGAATTCTTGTCGTTAAGAATTTTCAAGAGTTCACCTTGCAGATGTTAAAAATAGAAGTCATAATCAGTAGTGACAATATTTTTACTATCAATAAAATGATCAGATTGAGAGAGTAAATAAGTATTTTAATGGTATAGGTGTGATGTTTTACGACAATATTAATAACAAAAATATAAGGTGATCAAATCGTGTTAATTTTAAGATATTTTTTTAAAATAATGCGGAAATCATTGACGATTATAAGAATATATAATTAAATTAGGTGTTCCTAAGAGACTTGTTTTAAATTTGGTTGTTAAATTTATTTACCTTTGTCCCTGACAATGACTTGAGCTAATTGCATCAAGTGCAACAAGTTTTTATTTTTTGGATCCTTATTTGAATCTTGTGACAAGTTTTAAGGAGTGGCTAAATTTGACCTTGAATAACGCAAAACATTTAAACCAAAATTCAAAAAATAAGCCTTGCATTGTAGATTACCAACTTATAATCCTAGAAATTTAAATTGCCGGTTACTGCGGTATTGATAACAAGTTTTTTACCGGAAACCAGTACTGTCATTGACTCTTTCTCTTCATGTTTATAAAATAAGTATTTAATGAGCCTAAATTATTATTAAAACATAAATAAGTTGCTTATAGGCATTGGAACAGCTGGAAGTAAACAGCAATTTCTTAGAAAAATTTTGTATTTTCCATGTAAAGATTTATTGAAATTGTGATACAATTGGGAATGAATGACAGCATTTAAACTTAATAAGAATGATTTTTTAAACTTAATAAAATTTTAAAATGCTTTATCAGTCGAAATTTCATTGAATTTCAAGCTATCAGTCAAATGTCAAGGCAATCAAAATTTTAGGTCATCATTTAATGTTGCTAAGATTTTGTTGTTCATTTCTAATGAGGACGTGCAAAATATATCGTGGATCATGTTTACATCTTTAGGTACAAAGATCGAAAGGATTCGAATTTTTTCAGTAATAAATAAGCAATATTCAAAACATGAAGTTTTAAGTCTGATTTGTCTAGATAAGAGTAGAACTCAAAGTGTGAATTTAGAATCAAACAAAAAATCATAAAAAATTAACAATTCAGGCACACACCCACAATCCACGTTAATTTAGACTCCAAATATTAATATTAATATCCACGTGTGACTTTACCAAGATCAAGTTTTTGGCAACATTTAATCATGGAATTAGCATCTTTTTGCGTCACTAGCTATAAACTTGCTTATTCGAAAAGCGATATCTAATATTAAAAATATCCAACAACACTTTCTAGCCATTTCCAACATTTTAACATATTGATGAAGAAAAAAAAACATCATCAATTATTTCAAGACTCAACAACAAGTGCTTAATTCAAGCATAACAATTAATGAATATTCAATTACGCGTCTTCATTTTCGATCAATTATATTAGAAACTAATACACAAAAAATGCGAATAACAACAAAATTAATATGCCACAGTTGGTGAACAATAAAGTTTATTTTGGATGGGAGTCATTCGCTTATGATGTCTAATAAACCTCAAACTAAGTGACAATTGTTGTCATGTTAGGTGGGTTAGAAGCTGTGCGACACTCTTTAACCAACAGAGACAATGGAATATTTTTTTAATAGCCGTCATTTATAATTTACCCCTTTTACATCGAAACAGAAGCAAAAATTACGCAACAAAGTAAAATTAATTAAATAAGAATGGCTAGAGTAAATGTAAAAGTGTTACAACATGCTGCGTAAATTTCACTCAATTGCATTTGGCTACGGTACTTTATGAGTGTTTGGTTTTATGTTTTAATGGCAACTTTTTAAGATTGAAATTCAATTAAGATGAGTTTTTTCATATATTTTGGTATCGAGGTTCTCTACATAACAACAAATAGAACCTCAAGAACCAAAACACTTCACAAAGGAACAAATAGAATTCAGTACTTACATAGACAGAAAAGCTAATTGTTCACGTCAAACACAGGACTGCATTAATTGAACATTGATTATGATTGAAAATAGAATGATCAATTACAAAATTACTGAATTTTAATCAATTTCCTCAATTTATCGATCGATAAACTTTTGTATTGATAATTATTGTGTAAAATTAATTTAATGGGTAAGTCGTGTCAGTTGAGGAAGGCTATAGCCTATAGGAACTTCTAAACTGTTCCTTGTTGTTTCACTTAAGTTCTATTGAGTTTATAAGATGTTTGGGGCTATTAATTAATAATGTTTAATATTTTGAGGGTTAAGAGGCAGCAGTATTGTCAAAATATTTGCTAGAAGCACATTAGAGATGATTTTTTAAACCTAAACAAGCTATCACTATTTGCAGCTATCCTTTATAGTTGAAAAATTCAGAAACTCAATTTATAGACGTAATTTTCAAACAGCCCCACCCTTATCAATAACTTAAAAATCAATCTTTGCATTCATTGAGTCTGGCAAGTACTTATTGAATGAATCAAGTAAATATAAATAGGAACTCCACAGAATATTGAGGCACCAAGTGCACAAGGCTGCAAATGATGACAAATACTTCTAGAATAGGAAGTGTCAGATTCAAATTTCACAGAAATTGTATATGACCTACGTGACAATTGTGCTGCAATGTTTATTGCAAATTCGTGAAATTTGAGTTTGTTTTTGTTGAATGAACTTGTGGATTTGTTATTGTTAAAAGTTTTTGTTGGAACCTGTTGGAACCTAAAGTTAGCACTTATAGCGTTCCCGTTTGTGGAGTTAAGCTTATATTGTCTTGATGTTATTGGATAGTTATCCCACAGGTACCCTTGGATCGTCACACACTAAAGTATTGGCAAAATCTTAAAATATCTCCAACTAATGTCAACTCTAACATCATGCAAAACAATCCATTTGCCGGCACTCCTTAATTCAGCAATCTCTTGAGTTTTGAAATGGTAAAACAAATAATGCGTCTGAATATGAATATCAATAGCGACATTAGTACCTAGTTATATGAATATAAGGTGAAAGACACTGAATAAAAATAAAATTTTACATATATTACCGCACATTTTATTTAATATTCACACATTTTGAAGCAGTTAAAACAGCTGTGCTTAATAATAAAGTTGAAGCAGGCGCGTAGCCAGGTGGGGATTTGGGGGACAAATCCCCTGTTTCTTGAGAAATTTCTTCATTTTGCTAAAGTTTTTATGAAAATCTCGAAAAAGTCCCCCACCCCTTAAAGTTTTCCAAACAAAAAAAAATTGTCCCCTCCCCCCTCTTCATATTCCTGGCTACGCCCCTGAGTTAAAGTAATGAAACAACTCAAAATAAAAAGACTTGAATCTTAAGCTTAAAATATTAATTATGTGGGGCTAATAAAATAAGAAATAGTGAAAGGAAATTTATTTATTTTATTTGGGGCGCATCGTGTCAATTTTTGATTTTTTTTTGTTTTTGCTACTTTTAAAAGTTTAAAAAAAAGTCTTTAAAAACTATTTGTAAGAATTTCAAGCTTTTCAAGTCGAAAATTTTAAAAATTTGGATCGGAAGCTAATTTAATTTATTTTTTATCAAGACCAATAAAATCCAACAAACATTTTGACTCTGCCACATCAAAAATTCATAAATTGCGTGCCATTTTGACCTTTTTTTCCTTCCCACTAAACTCAAAGGTAAATGAACTTTACAAGCAACACCTTCAACAAACAAGTTGATCTTCTGAAAACATCAATAAATTTCATGACCCACTTTCACGTTTTTTTTATTTAAAAATTTTTTAAAGCCTAAACTTGTTTAATCATTTAGCGACTAATTAATAAACTTTAAACTTTTAATTTAAAAACTTTCAATTAGCGACTTGATGTGAATACAAAATGTGAATTTTATGTGTGATCTGAATTAAATTAAGCTTGATGTTGAAGTTGTTTGATATTAAAGTTGTCAAATGAATTAATTTTGTTAAAATTTGATTAGCAATTGCATGAGCTTGTAGACAATATTTTGTAGAATCTAAAATACTCTAATAGCTATGGAGCTGTTAAAAATTGAAGTATCAACAAATTAACATTACGCATTTAAACATCAAGACACAACCCTAGTTTTGCTGCCTAGGACAAATGTCAATTAACGTTTCAAACTTCAATGACAAACAATAAATAATCTCAAAAGTCCAACAAACTACAATTCTAGGTTCACATGAAATAAAGTAATTGAGATTTGTTATTATTCTCAAGCCTCTAATTAATTTCCTTACTTGATTTTTCCAGT